GGGGTAGTCGCGGAAGTAGAGCCGCTGCTCCTCCACATCGAGAGGAGTCAGTTGAGGTGGCTTGGGCATTTACATTGCATGTCCCCGGACGCCTCCCTCGGGAGGTGCTCGGGTCCTGTCCCTCTGGGAGGAGACCTAGAGGAAGACCTAGGACACGCTGGACTACGTCGCTCGGCTGGCCTGGGAGCGCCTTGGGGTCCCCCCAGAAGAGCTGGAGGAAGTATCAGGGGAGAGGGAAGTCTGGGTGTCCCTGCTCAGACTGTTGCCCCCGCGACCCGGCCCCGGATAAGCGGCTGATGATGGTTGGATGAATGGATGGATGGTGTCCTGTTGCAAAATAAACACTGTATGCATGTTTCTTAACCTGGGTTAATCTGCTCTTTCATTATTACTGCATTCTTTAGGGAGAACATTAACCGAAGATGTATAATAATAATAATAATAATAATATTTTATTGACCAAAAAGCCCAAAAAATATTTATTTTTTACATTTCTTGACTGAAGTTAAACTAAACTTAAAACAGTTTTATTGAATAAATTGGGACTGATTTGCTATTTAGTCAAAGGATAAAGACAATTTTATGACAAGTTCAGTCAGGACCAACACTGTCCAGAAGGGGGCTTTAAAACCCTGAGATCTAGGCTCACAGCAGGAGTCTAGTCTTACAACTGGAACAGCAGGAAAAAAAAACCAAACGCGGAGGAGTTAATAATATTTTGCTCTTATGACTTTCATAAACGATTGGTCTCTCAATGTCTTGTTTTGACGTTATTTTGTGGTTGTTAGCTACATGTTAGCTTCATGTTTGTTTATATTTGGCTCGGAAATTTCACAGGAAATCTTCAAATATTACCTGTAAATGTTTTATTACTTACAAACACTGCTGCTGTGGAAGTAAGTTCTTAACAGTACAGAGTGTTTTGATAATTGTACACGGTTGTGTCTCTGAGAAGAATGACCTTTTAATGGTTCTCTTGCTCGTTCTACTGGTGAAATTGTAGAAGAACAACTGTTGTTCAATCTGACATTTTTGCTTGCTATTGTACTAAACCAAGTTTTAATTTGAAACTCGGACGTTAGATCCGCTACATCCGTTTCATGATGGAGGAAAAATACAATAAAATTAAACTTTTATGTTTGCATATTTAGATACATTTTAAGGTGAAATTTAACGGTAACACTGAGATTGTCGTTAACTTTTATTTATAAGAACAAAAAGCCAAAGTGACAAGAATGTTTGCTGAAATTTTTCAAATTACCTGGTCTTTTGGAACAACTAGGCCAAAAATACTGGTGAGAAGTCTCTATTGTTCTGTGTTAAGTGTTTGTGTTGGTTATTCATTATACGGGTAACTATTATTACAATATATATAATATATATAGTCTATTATGGGTTTTATTTCTGTGTGTGAACATATGTTTGTAGCCTGTCACACAGTTGGTTTTCGGTTAATGAAAGAGTTTGGTTGATACTTGTTGTGGTTTGTGAAAATAATTGGACACTTTATGTGGTTTTCTTATATTTCGCATCCATGCGTTGTGGTGTTACACAAACACCGGAAGTGCTTCGTGTGGGATTTTTGTTTGTCCTTTCGAGTCGCCGGAACCAGCGGTACTCTGTGTTCCGGGAGCTCGCACTTTACAAGCACTAAACACCTACGTTTTCAGTGAGAGTAAAACTATAAAACTATGTTGAAAATGCACAAATAATCAATTGTGTCCACTACCAGTCTCCTGTGACTACTTCTACTCTATAGTTATTTTTTTAAGAAAATCTTTAGCGTTGTTAAAGATCAGTCGCTGCTCCTGTGTTGTCATTGGTTTCAGTCAGAACCGAAGGAAAAAAAAAAGTGAAAGGCGATCGCTGTGAACCCAGGTTGACCAGCAATTAAGGCGACAATGGAACAATACGCAGCGGTGTCTGGTTACTGTGTTG